GGCTCTTCGGCGGGGCGCCCCGCTTCAGACCCCCGCCGTATTGCTTCGAGGAGTCGAGCAATGGTTGCTGAATGCCTGTCGGGCTCGCTTCCAAGTGTATATTAATCAGGTTGCGGTCGCGCGCGCGCGAGAGGCGGCAGTGGCGGATCTTCGCGCGAAGCATCTCGTTTGTGATCGCGTTGTCCTGCATGATCGCCTCGAGCCAGTCCGAGAGCAAATTGCGATTCTGAGCGCCGCAATCGCCTCCTTGCTGAATGATGGCCCCGACTCGTGCCATGAAGATGGGGGCGGGGGGCTCCGAGACGAACGAGCTCTGGCACTGCCGCCTTGTTCCGCAGTGCCTATGCGCGATCCTTCCGCAGCTGCGCCCCGGGCGCGTAGATGCGCCCAGCAAATTGCGCGCTTCGCGCCGAGGTGCGCGCGGAAGAAGATCGATGCCTCCAAGCTGGCTACGGCCAGGCTGTTCTTCAGGACGGCCCGCGCGACGATCGAGAACAGAGCTTGAACGAGTGCGATGGGTACTGCTTGCGCCTGCAGGCTCTCGACGTCGCTGCGGTGGAGGCCGCGGGCCATGTCGGCGCCCTCGAACATCTCCGTCGAGAAGACCGCCATGTTGGCGCCGCCTGCTGGCGGGGGGGCGCGCACCGGCTGCGCCGCGGCCCCTCCCGGGGCTGCCGCCGCCGCCCCCTGCGCCCCGAGCCCCCCCGCGGCTGCGTCGTCTGCTGGCTCTGAGCGCGCCCCGTCGCCCCCGCCCCTGGGGCGAGACCGCCCTCCGCCTTCCCGCCGACACTGCCTGCCGCCGCCGCGCCGATCGCCACTGCGAGGCCCGGGGGCCTCCGAGCGGGCCTCCCCGTTGGCGGCGAGTGCCCTCGCAGCGAGATCTATATGTGACAGCTGCTCCACGTGGCCAGCGGGGTCTCCAGTCCCACTCGGCGGGCGCCAGCGCGGGGGCAGGCTGGGGAGCGTGGACCTCGCGGATGCGAAGCTGGAGTCCGGCAAGAGAAGAGAAGGGCCCCGCGCGCTTTGAGCCAGGTGGCGCACGCTCAACGAACTCAGGGACAGCCGACTCGATGTCCAGGCAGAAGGGGCACGAGAGATCGTCGGGCTCCAGGGCAGTGGGGGCATATGGGGACTGATCGCACAGGCATCGACCTCGACGAAGGGACTGGGCGATGTGCCTCTGAGCGGCGGCGACTGACTTGAAAGCGCTCATGCAGTACGGGCGCTGGTTCGTGATGATAAGCTGATGCGCTGGAACGCGATGCCGATGTGATGGATGATGGCCCTGGTGAGCGATGAGGGCCCCTTTGCTATCAAACACCACCCCGCGCCTCCCGTTCTCTCCATCACCAAGCAGATCACGCGCAAATTCTTCTGAGGCAGCATTTTCGGGTCCTGGATGGGGCCCCCCGTGGTCGTCGGTTACTGCGAAGTTCGGTTACCTTGCGGAGCGTAGCGGGGTCGAGCCGAAGGAATATGGAGCCTGCCACCGTTTTTCTTGTGGTAAAAAAATGTCCCGAAACGAATCGGCCTCCAGGAACTCCCCCCCTTCTCTGAGAAACCGAACGGCCTGGATGACGACCCCCACCTGAATGGCCCAGGGGTTAGCAGACTCTTTCACGGCTCCAGACTCCGAGAATGTCGAAGGTTCTCCCGGTCCATCATGCGCCCCGAACAATGCCGTGATCACTTGGGCTTGTCCGCGGGGTGCCTGGCGGATCTCTGCCACTGCTTACCTGCGGACCAGCAGCTCTGCGCGGGTGCTGGTCATGCGAAGATTTTTTGGCACCTCATCTTCCGAGAATGACTTGCACCTGGGCTCGCTACCTTCTGGGGCCCCTGGAACGAAGTCGGGTTGTCGATCGCGAAGTACGGCTCGAGCGAACCCATGGGCCACGGCGTCGAGTCTCCTGAGGTCGAGCTTCCCTGGTCGGTATGTTTCGAGTCCAGAATACGCGGCGCTCACAGTGGCCCCCTTGAAGGCGAGTCGTTTCAATCGAATCGAATGCGTGTCGTCCCAGAGTCTCCCCAACCTCCTCCAGGCCGCTCTTGTCGCCTCCGCCCTCTGCCTCACCTCCGCTCCGCGTGCCCCAGCGAGCTGCTCCGCCCCGCCCGCGTAAATCCTCTCAGCGGCCGCAACTCCAGGACGCGGGACATCGCCAAACCAAAGAGCCCGAGACATCGCGTGGGACCCTGGACCCGCCATCACGGGAAAACAAGTTGTCTTTTTCGCGATGTAAAGCCTCCGCCGCTCTCGAGTTCTCCGCCCAAGATGGCATTGGAACTGCGCGCGCGAGTCCGCGCCTCCATCGGATTCGGCGAGACACGCGGCAGCGCCTGGTTCCGCGTAGTCGCGAATTGAGCCGTCCATCCTCTGATCTGATGGAGCAGGCCATGATGCCCGCCGCCCTGATCTGCTACACCTCGCCCTCTGTCAACTTAAGCTTGCACAGAGAGGGGCCTTCAAATAACCCATCGCGCCAGCGTTCGACAGGGCGAAGAAAAATGCGAACAGGTAACTCACAGGCGTTCCCATCTCCCATCCCAGACCCATGCGCTGACTGTGAATACCCCGCCTGCCCCCCCCCCCCGCCCTGATCTCCATCGCCGCCTCTGAGCGCCTCTGGCGGAGGAAGGCCTGGTCGCGCGGGAAGGGAGTGATCTGCTGAACGGCCCCGCTGAGCCCCTCGTGCGACGCGGGGGGAAACGCGCTCGACATGTCCTTTGTCAGGACAAGGCTCGACGCCCCCAATTTTTTGAGCATGAGCCCCCAGCTATGCATCTGCGCGACGAGCTGAGCGTTCTGCCAGCAACGGTCGGTGGGCCGCATATCCGCGAGCACGAGGGGGGAAGGGGGGGGCGATCGCTTCGAAGAAAGAATCCCCGATACCAGGCCTTCCCGAACGGACAGCATCAGCGGGCGAGCCCGATGGCCTCGGCGCCCCGCGTTTGGTCCCCCTTGGAGAGCTGGAGGGGCCTACTCCAGTGCAGCTGATAAGGCGCCCTAGTATTTTCACTCTGAGTTGTCTGAAGACGCGGCGTAACCTATCGGTGAAAACAGGGCAGGCGACGTGCAAACGGTCCTGGACGCGTGCAAGTGCTCGATCCTCTGGATGTGCTGCGCGCGGCCACTCCCCCGCCATCTGTCTCGTGGCCTGCTGCGCGATCCAATGCCGAAGCTTCGCTGGCGCCGAGAGGTCGTGCGAGCATCTCCTACGCGCAGCCTCCTTCAACTGATTCAGAGTGCGACCTCAACCATCGTGAGAAATCGAGGCCGCTGCACCGCCGCAAAACCCATGACCCCCCTCCTCCACGCGGGTGAGAGCTTCCTGCGACGCCCCCCATCGGATCCTCCACCACCTGCGCGCTGAAGCCCCCCTTCCCTGGCCGCGGCAACCACCGTCTCGATCCACTCCTCGATGCTAGGAAGGTAGGCCGGTGGCACGTTGTAGCTCGTCCGACGGGGGCCTCGAAATCTGCGACCGATGGCGTAGATCAAGCGCCGCGCGTCGTGATAGTCACGAGACCCGCTATGCTTATTGGCTTCGTCTGACAAGCGTTCGACATACTCTAAGTCAACCTGCTTCTTTATGGTCTTAATCACTTTCCCCAGCTTCCAAAGATTCAGTCGGTCCTCTTCCGAAGAAAAGAAACAGCCGAGACGAGCGTGCTTCCGTTTCGAGAGAATCTCCGTGCGCTTCTGGATGTGGGCGGCGAGCGCTCCCCTCTGGACGGCCTTCGTCGCCTCGGGACGTGCTGCCTGCTGCGCGTCCGTCACTAAGTCTTGCCGCGCGTCCGAGGGGTCAAACTTCGTGGTCTTCTGCTCCCAAGTACGTCTGCGTTCAACTGACACTCTCTCCAGTTTGGCCATAATTTCACCACCACTCCCTTCATGCTTCAATAACTTTGCCAAGAACTCACGGCCCAAAGGCATGCCACGGCCTCCCCCGTCGACCGGCGCCTGCAACTGGAAATTCACCTGCCACAAAGATTGGGGGCGTGGTCTCGGGGCCGGCTGCCACGGAAACTTTGCAACTCTTTCATGATGCGCTTAAAGACTTCACACTGATTCGTCGCCTGGGCTGCGTCCGCAGGTACCAGTATAAGGTCAGGCGCGCTTTGCGGGTCCATGCCGTAGCACGTGGGCCGACAAGGGAGAAGCTGTCGACAACTGCCACGCCATCCATCTTAATGATGCGCCACAATTCCGCCGTCACTTTCGTTGTCCTCGCCGACCGCATGTGGGCCGACGTGCCGCCCGTCCTGCGTGGGCGTGCTCAGCCTCTGTCCTACTCGTCGGCGTCCGAACTGGCAGTTCGCGTCAACGACGAGCGAGCGCTGCTTGGCGAACTGGATGCTAGAGTGGACCCACGAGGCCGAGCACTTGCAGGTCGCACGCCAATGGTCCGCCTTCATATTGGACGTGAGGGGGAAGTACGCGACGATCACCGTGACGTCGAACTGCCCCGAACGGACTCGGATGAACCCACCTCGCCCCGGGAGGTCGCCGGGGGGGTGGGAGCCCTCCACCACGTGCGAGCTCCGCACGGCCCGCTTTTGTTGGTGTGCCGCCCGCGCTTTTGTTGGTGTGCCGCCCGCGCTCCCACCCGAATTTGTAGACCACGTGCGTTTGAGTCTGTATCGTCGTCGCTGGCTGCTTCAATTTCTGCCTCTGCGTGGTCGCGGGGCTCACTATAATGTCTGCGAAAGAAAGCTCGATGCAATGTCCTCCGCTCTCCATGCGTCTACGATATGCAACGGGTTGTACAGACAAATTCAGAAGAGCGTTCCACATGTAGTAGCCGTAAAAAGTGTGTGTGTGTGTGTGTGTTGTGTGTGTGTGTGTTGGGGGATGACCCGCCCCCCCAAGGCTCCTGAGCGGAAGGGGGAAATCCGCGGGCGGCGCGAGGGTGGCCCAGGGGTCGCGGGCCTGATGGAAAGGGGCTAGGAGAGAGGAGGAGAGAGGACGAGCAGCATGGGCAACCCTCTCCCTGGCACGCCTGCGTCAGCTCCTCGTGGTAAGGCCTCGGAGCCCGCCAAGGGAGGGGCGGCCGTGCCGAGACTCGGCCCCCGAACCGAGAGGCCAGGGGGCTGCCCCGTCCACCCACCTCCCCGGTCTCCCTCCCTGGCGGCACTCCCCATCATGGACGGAGGGTGGGAGGCCTCGTCCCTCTTCCTCGCCCCGTTCCCCCTCTTGCAACAGGCGCGGCTACTTTTCAGAAGGCACTCTCTCTACTCTGTTGCCAACAAATGCAAGGGGTAGTTTCTCTCTCCTCACGCCCGCTCCAGTTGGAACCACGGCATTGAGGGCACCCAACCAGACCGCAAGAGAGGTCGACCGATGTCTCCGAAGCATTGCTGGCGTCGGTTTCAATCGACAGGCTGCCGCTTCCTTGTGCGTGGTACCCCACCATTGTTCAAGATGTTCGGCAACTGGATGACGAGATGCCCCTCGCCATCAAGCCCCGATACCACGTCTGCATACGAAACGAGGGGGGCATTCCCCTTGAAGAACGAGGGCGCCACGGGCCTGCCGTTTGGGCGAGAGCTCCGTTTCGAGAGCGATCCACCCTGCCTCCTCCAGCTGTAAGAAGCGCATTGATATACGACGAAGCGCTGCGCTACGACCCTTGCGGCAGAAGGCCTTCAACAGCTTTCACAATTATGAGGGGGGTCACGACGGGGGGTCACGATGGGGGGATCGGGATCAGGGATAGGGGTAGACGGATAAAGATCGGAATAAAGACGGCAATGGGAGGCAACGGGAAGCCACGGTAGGCTATATGTCGCCCAACCGACTCCAGATCCGAGAAGCCATGAGAAGCCACTGGAGGCAACGTCGCCCCACCGATTCCGGATCCAGCGACCCACCTATTATAGAGTAGTCGCATCGAAACCTTACAAACAAATAGTGTAGGGAATCACCCCTCCACACACAAATGTTGCACACATTGAAACGGCTGGTCACACCAGTAGTGAAAACATCAAACAAGAACACCGATGTTGGAAAGAACAACCATCCGTTGATGCAGCTTCAAGAGGGAGCATGCATATGAGAAGGAGCCACCCTCTATCCGTGCAATGTTTGGGGAACGACTGGGAATACTGCGCGCGGCTCCTCAACGAAAAGAACATCATGAACACGATTCGCTATCCATTCATGTAACTGGTGGAATTGTGCAGGACGAATGCGCATGGATAGATTGCGAGACATACATGTTCAGAACAAATCGCCGGTCCCCGTATGACTCTAGGACGTCTTGAATACGAATGGCCACGGAAATCTGGCGATACCCGCGTTTTGAAAAAAAACTGGCTCTCCAGCAGTAGGACTTGCTAAATACGAGTGCCCATGGCGCCAGAATATCATAAAACAAGTTTGCCATCGGCCCATGTAGACGTTGGGCAAATCAAGCTTCAATGCCATGAATGGTGCAGACGTCTCAGGCGAACCGCGGGGGCCGCACTACCGACGCGCTTGATGGTGCCTCGATGATGTATGTAACCTGGCATGTCGAAGATGATGCTGCTGATGCTGCTGATGATGATGGTTTTGCTGATGGTGATGCTGATGCTGCTGCTGATGTTGCTGCTGCTGCTGAGGAGGAGGAGCAGGAGGACGAGGAGGAGGGGGGGAAGGCGAGGAACATGACGATGGGGGCGAAGGAGTAACGAGGAACACAACGAGAAAGGAGTGAGGAAGGCGGACATGAAGCAGGAAGGAGGACTGACATGAGGAGGGAGGCCTGAGGAAGGATGCGGAAAATCCGCCGGCCCCCTTGTGGGGCCACCAGGCTGTAGGCCCGTGATTCGCAGTTTCCTGTACTAGTTGTAGCTTGTAGTTTTCAGTGTTACAGGTTTGCTTCTTGCTGGTTACTGTAACTAGTTGATTGACCGCGCGAGGGGGGGGGAGGCCCAAACAGGATTTTTAGCCTCCCCTGGGCGCGTTGTCTGAATTGCTGGGGGGGCTCGAAATCGACACCCCTCATGCAGATCCGCGGGGGTCAGGGTCCAAAAACACATGGGATTTGCCACATTTCTGAAATTCGGTGCCACCCCTCACGCAGATCCGCGGGGTCAGGGTCCAAAAACACATGGGATTTGCCACATTTCTGAAATTCGGTGCCACCCCTCACGCAGATCCGCGGGGTCAGGGTCCAAAAACACATGGGATTTGCCACATTTCTGAAATTCGGTGCCACCCTCACGCAGATCCGCGGGGTCAGGGTCCAAAAACACATGGGATTTGCCACATTTCTGAAATTCGGTGCCACCCCTCACGCAGATCCGCGGGGTCAGGGTCCAAAAACACATGGGATTTGCCACATTTCTGAAATTCGGTGCCACCCCTCACGCAGATCCGCGGGGTCAGGGTCCAAAAACACATGGGATTTGCCACATTTCTGAAATTCGGTGCCACCCCTCACGCAGATCCGCGGGGTCAGGGTCCAAAAACACAGGGGATTTGCCACATTTCTGAAATTCGGTGCCACCCCTCACGCAGATCCGCGGGGTCAGGGTCCAAAAACACAGGGGATTTGCCACATTTCTGAAATTCGGTGCCACCCCTCACGCAGATCCGCGGGGTCAGGGTCCAAAAACACAGGGGATTTGCCACATTTCTGAAATTCGAACCCATCACGCACATCCATCGCAAGGCGTGGTAACCCAAACTGCGAGAACTCCCTCGGCCCTTTAATCGCAAGGTGTGGCAACCAAGCCCTTACACCATACACGTCTTACCCATCGCCAGGTGTGGTAACCCCTCTTGTGATCAGTTGGTTTTGCTGATTGCGACTCGGCTTCGCATGAAGCTTCGATACTGCTTCACGACAGCGCCAAGGCCTCATGACTTAGCTCTTCCATGGCCCATTCTCCGAGAGAGGGGGCCGGCGGCAGGGGGCGAAGCCCTTACGGATCATGAAAGTGGGATGGTACACCGGACTCACTTCTATAGCGCTCACTTCTATAGTGCTCACTTTGAAATTGTGGTCCGGAAGGGGCCGCACATGCAGGCACATGCCGCACAGTCGCATGCACATGCCCATGCAAATATACAAAAGCCTTAACAGCATTGCCGCACATGCGCGCACATTCCACACCGTCCGACGCACACTCGAATGCACGGTCAAGCAAAACTCTGAAAGCATAGACGCGCATGCCAGCACATGCCGCAGAGATGTCGCAGGCGATAGTGGCCTGACCACCTGAACTCGGAGCATTTCGCAACCCAGAGTTGCGAGGATGTCTCAGGCAAGCGTGGCCGGACCACCATGGGGCAAGGCATCTTGGAAACCAGAGTGGCGAGGATGTCGCTGGCCAAGGTGACCAGACCACCATGGGGCAGGACACCTCCGAGGTCTGAGTTGTGAGGATGTCTCAGGCGAAAGTGGCCTGACCACCATGGGGCACGAGATCTCTGAGGTCCGAGTTGCGAGGATGTCTCTGGCGAGAGTTGTCTACCTCAGCCCAGGGCGTCTCGGAACCCAGAGTTGCGAGGATGTCTCAGGCAGGAGTGGCCTGACCACCTGCTCAGGGCATCTCGGAACCCAGAGTTGCGAGGGTCTCAGGCGAACGAGGCCGAGACACTATGGAGCAGGGCATCATTGAGGTCATAGTTGTGAGGGTGCCTCAGGCGAAAATGGCCTGAACACCTCAACTCAGGGCATCTCGGGCGAGGATTCTAAAGCGAAAGTGGTCTAACCACCTCAGCTCAGGGCGTCTCGGAACCCAGAGTACCGAGGATGTCTCAGGCGAAAGGGGCCGAGGCATATCGAGCAGGGCATCATTGAGATCAGGGTTGCGAGGACGTCTCAGGAGACAGTGGCTGACCCATTCGTAAGATCGGGTGCTGCCCCACGACCTCGCGCAAAGCCTTGTGAAGGTTGTGCAGTAATGCCTTGTGCACCTGGTCGTTCCAGCATTGTTCCGGCGTGCCGCTCCTGCTGGCGAGCGCGGGCAGGGCGAGCGCTGCGCGCGCCTGTGCGGAACGTGAGAGGGGCGCCCCGTCTGTCGGGGCCGCGCAATCAAGCGAACGCTCGTCCGCGCACGGCTTGCGCGCGGACGCGAACGCGCCGGCGCCCGGAGACGAACGCCGGCCCCGGCATTCTTGCACGTCCCGCACATGCCCCGCACAGGTACGCACAGTATTCGCACAGGCCGACCTCGCCAGTGGCCGAGCCAGGCCAGCGATTCCGAGATTCCATGAGCTCGGGCCGTCAAGCCATTTTCGCCTGAGACATCCTCGCGACTCTCACCTCCTCCTCCTCCTCCTCCTCCTCCTCCTCTTCCTCCTTCTCGTCTGGCCGAGCCGAACAGGCGGGCGGGCCGGCCGAGCCGGGGGCGTCCGCCTCCTCCGCCCCCCCATCCTTCCCCCCCCCTCCACCTCCCCCCCCCCCTGCTTCTCCGGCCGAGCTGAGAAGGCGCGCGGGGGAGCGTTTTACTAGGAGGGCACGCCGCCGCCAGCTCACAAACCGGGCGAAGAACCGCCCCCGCCAGCAGCGGGCGAGTCTAAACGCACAACAAACTCTTTCGGGAAGCCCTGGCACGCCCCAGGTTAGCTCTGCGAAGGCCAGGAGGCATTGGAGGCACAAGGGTCCCAGACAGATCCTAGGGCATGAGCGTGCATGTGCATTGGGATGTGCACGCATGTGCGCCCGCGCGCTTCACCGCATGTGCGTGCATGTGCGGGCCCGCGCGGCCTCCCGAAGAGAGGTTGCACAGGCATGTGCGTGCATGTGCCGATGACAGATCTGCGATTCTCGAACACCTACCGCATGTGCAGGCATGTGCGTCGGACTGTGCGTGCATGTGCGTATGATGGATACACCAAAACACAACGCACATGCCCCCGCACATGCCCGGGCACGACGTGCACAGTAGGAAGTCCATCCAAGAAGGGCCGCACAGGCCTGGCACATGACTGGCACATGCCGCGCACATGCGCGCACATGACAGCGCAAAAACGGCCGCACATACACCCACCCAGGGGTATAGATGTGAGTGCGGTGTAAGGGAAAGGGAATACTGAGGATGAGGATGGTGAGGATGGTGAGGATGAACGCTGGAAAGGAGGAAAGAGGAAGTGAGGATGAGGAGGGGGGAATCCAACCTACCCTAGAGCATCCTAAATCCCCTGCCACAACGCCCAAGAACACGCTGGAACTTCCAAGCCCTCCTGCCTCGCCATCTCCTCCTCCTCCTCCTCCTCCTCCTCCTCCTCCCCTTCCTCCACCTTCTCCCTCCTCCCCATCCCCTCCCCCCTGACCGCAGCACGTGCTGCTCGTAGTCCTCGAGCGACTCATCCGAAAGGGCCATGGCGCACAGGTATATCAGGTCAGTGGCGGCGACTCCTAGCGTCGTCGCCGCAGTCGCGATCAAACTCTGGTCAATACGACACCCCGAGGCCCAGAGGGAGGCAGGAGGAGGGAGGAGGGAATTGAGGAGGGAATTGAGGAAATGGAGGATGGATGTCGCGGAGGGCAAAGCGGGGGAGGAGGGATAAGGATGGAGGGTGGGTGGATGGAAGGATGAAGGGAGGAGGCAATATGGCATGATGAGGCGGGCGGGGGAGGGAGGGAAGGATGAGCACGGAAAGTGCGTGACCACTGCACACGGCACACGGCACACGGGAAGGAAGCCATATCCCGATCAAAGCCACACGAATCACGACAGCAACGACTACACCGACGGTGGCGACGAGGTTCGCTTCCGATCCGCGCCGTCGCACGGACTGGTGGGGGGGATCAATACGTAGTTCGTTCTGGAGAGGGAGGGCTGTGGAAGATGGAGGCTAACGGATGAATGCAAATGATGATGGAGGGGGGATCGAGGGAGAAGGGAAGAATGAGGAGAGAAGGAAGGAGGGGAGACAAAGAATTCCGTAGTCGTTTCGGCTCAAGTCCGTAGAGGGAAGCTCGGGGCAATATTTCTGTGGCGCTGAAAATCAGCGGCCCCGTCAACGATCCATCAAGATTTCTGATATTGCACTACGGTTTCAGCCCACACGCCCTGCCATGCAGTGACGCCGATGGTTTCTGTTCTGTGAGGGCAAATGCGCGCTGCTTGGGCCACAGGGGCCGCGTTGGACGAGAACTGGGTGTCACAAGCTCCATGTGTATTTTTACCGGGCGCCCGCGCCGCCGTGGCCAAGAAAGGGCGGGCCGCCCATGAGAAGGCCATCGCTGGGGGTCGAATCGAGACGAAGCCGCCGAAGGGCAGCAAGTGGGAGAATGGTCCGCCCAACGGTGGCAGCAAGGAGTACTCGCAACTGAGGCCATGCAGCCGCAATTCGAGCAGCTCGCTCAAGATCGTCGAGCTGCTTCCAGGTGGGTCCACCACCGTCTCGGACCCATCCACGGACTTGCAATCGCGCTTGCAATTATAGCGCAGTGCTTCGATTTTCGCTGTCTCAGAGGTGGACAATGAGCTGGCGAGCTGGCCGACTTCAAGGCCAGCGCGATACAAGATAAGCTGAAGACTGTCAAACCGTCCAGGGCCGTCCAATTGCAAATCGCGCAGCCCGGCTGGCCAAGGCCATGTCGGCACAGGCCAAGGCCCGCGCTGCCCTGCATTTGTGCGCCGTGACGAAGTGCACAAGACGCTGGCACGGGGAGAGCCGCATCGAGGGCGCCACGAGGAACGCGGAGAGCGCCACGGCGGCATGGCGGACTTTCAGCGGCAAATCCCCCCACTGGTTTGCTATTCTGGGAAGGTTAGGGGTGAGGGCACGGGGATGGGTGAGGAGGGGTGGACGTTGCAGGGCCCCTTGGGAGAGCATGTTGCAGTTTTCCCCGCTCCCCCTCGTCCATCATCTCGTCTCTATCTCCTCTTGCTTCTGCTTCTTTTGTGTGTGAAGGCCGACCCCAAGATAGCGCAGCCACTTCGCCTGCATCGTGTCTTGGCTCGGGGGCACGATAAGGGCACACCTGTTCAGGCGCGAAAACATCACCCGACCACCCCTGCAGCACGGGTCGAGACTACCCGTCCAGGTCCGGTCATTTCGGAGACTATGATCCCGGGATACTCCGGGCGTCTGCGAGGTCGAATTCGTAAGTCATATCGCTCTTCCTGGAAACAGACGGTTGGTAGAATATGCATGAGCACAATTAAGTATCAAGGGCTGAATTGGCGGTTTTTGAGCCATGGGCCAAAGTTGCGTCAGCTCCTTCTTGACGCTCGGCGTTTTGAGTGGGAGATTTCCTGTTTGACCGAGCTGCATGGTGAAGCGTGTGATTGGGACGTGCAGGAACGTAGCGTCCAGATGGTGTCTCTCGAAGAGTTCTTATTTGTTCAGTGGCACAATGTTGGTTTCCTCCTCTCCTCTCCTTGGAAGAATTTTTGGTTGGACCAGGGGTGTCGTATCCGGGTGGGTTCGAAACATTGTTTTTGTCTCCTTGTCACGTATCAGGACCGTGAACTTGCTGTTGCTTCTTCTTACGCCCCCCAAGTAGCACACATGACCGGGATGCTCGCTCTCTCTCTCTCTCTCCCTCTCTCTCTTCTTTGAAGAAGCCACTGCTTGCTCTTATACTATGACAGAGGCTGCTGGCGTCGTGGTGTGGGGGGGAGATTGGAACGGACACGTTGCCGGCACCGACTGTGAAGGTGGACGGGAGCTCCCGCAGGCCACGACGAATGGCGGAAGGGAGCTCCTGTGGTGGCAGGCAGGCATCGAGCGCTTCTGTCGTTTAGACGACTATGTGCGTTGTTCGTTTCGAGGCACGTGGCGGCATAGCGCGAACCACTGTTGGTACGAACCTGATGGTTTCCATGTTTTTCGGGGCCACACCGGATGAACATAGAGACTGCGCGCTCATGCTGTTAGTTTCTCGGGCCATCGAGCCAAACATGTTGTTTCTCACGTCCCCTGGATTTCGCACCCCCGGGGCCGACGGCGCGTGCCCCTTGGGGGCATGTCCAGGAAACTGACGGGGCCCTTTTCCGCTGCGGGTCGATGCTTTGCGCGGTCCGTCCCCGGAAGCCCGAAAGGCGCGTGAATATTTGGCTCGTGATTTCGACTCTCGTCTCCAGGCCGCTTATCCCGACACCCCCTTGCCATTCGGCACGGCCGCCCTCGTTGATGATCCGGCGGGGGTCCTGGGTGCCGTCGTGTTCTACACGGATGGGTCGTGCCGGGGGGGCCCCCGCGCTGTTCGCAACGGCACCTCTCGGGCTGGGTGGTGTTTCGCGCGGGGGTGCAACGAAGGCTGGCTGACCCATTGTGGCCCGGTGATCCTCTCCCCTAGACGCCCGCATTTTCTTGGGTCTTCGGTCCAGTCGAACAACACGGGCGAGTTGTCGGCGATGTGCATGTTGTGCGTGCATTTGTGTACCCAGAATGAGCTCCCCGATGGTCGTAGGAGCGCTCGTTTCGACAGTATGTATGCGTTCAATATGCTTGATGGTGCGTGGAATCCTCGTAGTTCCCCCGAACTTGTTTTCACGTGTCGTCGGTGGCTCCAGCGAGCTCGGTCGCATTTCGACATTAGTTTCTCCCATGTGGAGGGGCACCCGGGCGACCCGGGAAATGAGGGGGCCGATCGGGGGGCTAAGCAGGGCGCTGAGGGCGCCCTACTCTCCTGGTCAGTGGTGCCCGATTCCCCCCTTTTCATTGATGATGAATTGGCGGCGGGTCCGGATGCGTCGTGCTCCTCATAGCTTGCCCTGCTGACTGAATCAGTGGGGGAGTTGCGGGGCGAGGGAAACCACCGCAGAAGGGAGCGCCCTACACTACTCAGGATCTGAAGGTCGTCGCTCAGAGGAATGAGGTGATCAGATCCAAACTGCAGGTGGCGCATGACAGCCAAGACCCAGAATGCATTCGGGCCCTGAAGAATGAGTTGCGGTGCGAGCGTGGAACCTTGGCCCGATTTCGCAGTCGCTGCCGCGGTGTTTTCACGCGGAAGATGCGCGACCATAATGATCGGGCCATGTTTCTTCATGACATTCGTGTTTTCTACCAGCTTTTGTGCCACCTCGGTATTAGTCTCGCGGACAAGCATCGCCAGAGACAGACTGATTTCCCCCTCGGAACGAAATGCCACGCACGCTGAAACCATCGGAAACGAGCCTTCCAAGTTGCCTACGGATTAAAAAGACTTCCTGCCCCCCCAGGCTCCGGTCCAACGGCAATTCGGCGACGCCCCATCTCTCCCTGAGGTGTTCCGGGCCATCGGGCGGACAGCGCCAGCGGCAAGGCCGGCGTCGCCATCGGCGCCGCCCGTTCCGCGGGGCCAAACGCCACCATGGCGGCCGCGCAGCCTGTCGCCACCTTGCGGGATGCCCCTGTTGATGCGTGGGAACGAGAGGTCGGCGCCGCCATTGGCGTCATGCTGTGTAAGAAGGGATCCCCGCCTGATTAAAATAACTCTCGTATCATCTCATCTGGTCGCTCTCGATCGAGTCCAGAATCCTTGCGACGGTGATCGATGCGCGCCTTGCCCCCTTTGGCGAGAACGAAGGCGTCTTGCCTGAGACGCAATGGGGGCTCCGTGCAAATCGCTCCACGATTGGCCCCCTGTTCGTCCTGCGCGTTGTTGCCGATTGTGCGAGTCGCTACTAGTCACGACAGATGGCGGGGGGGGCTCCCCGGCGCCGCTGTCTTCCCCACTCTGAATGATACACGCAAGGCGCGCCCCCGCGCCCCGCGCACGGTGGCCAAGTGGATTTTCGAGCGCAAGGGCCTCCCCCCCAGATGATCTCTGTCATTGATGGTTTGCTCTCGCCCACCCGGTACCAGATTCGCGCGGCGGAGGGCCTCGGCCGCCCCTTCGAGATCACCCGGGGCCTCCGCGAAGGCTGCCCATCGAGCTGCAACTTGTTCAAGGCGTTTCACGCTGCCCCGCTTGCCGCCTTCGAACAGCGGGCCCACCCCCTCCCGGCGGAGGGCGTTTCCATGGCGGCGTGCCCCGGCCGCCCGCCTCCCGACGCGCCCCGCGCTGTCCGGCCTCGCGATCGCGCCGCGGCAGTGGCCTTCACGCTTCTGGAAATGCTTTTCGCGGATGACACATCATGTCCTCAGCGCCCCCGGTCGGGCCAGCGAGTTCGAAGATCTCTTGGCTCAGACACGGGCGCTCTTCGGAGAAGGTGTTCGCCCTGGCAGAACAGAATGCTTGGCCATCGGTGGCCCCCCGATCAGCACCCGGGAACGCGCGCCCCGCGCTCGCTTCCTCGGCGGGTGGCCCCAGCCGAGCGGGGCCCATGATGTGGACGCGCCCAATAGGCGCTTGGGGCGCGCGGAGAAGGCGTGGCGCAGATTGCGTCGCCACGTTTCCCGGCTGCGGCCCCCGCGCAAGGCGCTGGGGCAGCTCTTCCGTGTTGCGCTCGGCGGAGGCTCGAGGTTTCACCGCGA